CTTCATGAAAAAATATTTTATTATAGCGTTTTGGAAAACTCTCGAGATGTGCTATAAGAATATGCAATGAAAAATGGGGTGTTCCATTTAAAAAAATTAATGTGACCTTGACCTGACCTTCGCTACGCAACCCAAGGTCAAACTGATGTGATCAGTAAACACATCTTTTTAAACGCCACAACTTTTGTCTGAAACATTTTTTTGTAAAACTTATATTTTTCCTGATATTCGGGCGTCCCGGTACTTTCCGAACACCCTGTATAATATTTTTATAAGTTATCAAAGAAAAATTCAGCAACATATAATTATGATTACCGTTTTCTGTATAGGTGATGGTATCGCATCATCGATCTCTACACAAAAAATACACACAGCATTAATTAATAATGACATAAAAAAGAAAGGTAAATTAAGATGTTGTATTTACATAATTCATCGCGTTATGTGTATTTAATTAGTATTTCTGTTTTAGCTGTTTTAGAGAAAATAATAGATACTCTTATCACTATTAAAGAACAAAATAATCAAATATTAGCTCAATTAAGAAAAGTTCCTCAAGCAAAAGGAGCTGTCTCATTCTCCCTGCCAGAGAATATACCTGTTCATCTACCATTAAAAACAAACGAAAATTTATGCTTCTTGGAAGGATTCATTGCAGACAAAACTAATTCATATAATTTGGTAAATATTTTAACTATATTTTTTGCCCAAGAAAATAAAAATACAAGAAAGGAAGAAAGATTATGTTTCATATTTGAAGGAGGAATACTTCATATATGTATTTGTACATAATTTTTGTTTATATTATTTATCTGTACAGGATGTCCCAGAAAGCTCGCATACCGAATGCACAGTGAAATTCTTGAGACCAAAAAAGCAACTTTTTCCTTAACCAAAATTTTTTCGAACAATAGTTTTGAGAGCTATTTAAATTTGTCGAATCAGAGTGTTGCTTGGTATTCGCCTCAGGAGAGGTGCGCGATGTACAAAGTAACAAATAAATTATGTAGACAGTTTTTGTCATACTGCAGACGCGTACCGCATGCCGCTCCTGATCTGCTCGCAATGTAACACTCTGATTCGGGAGCGGTGCACTTGGACACGGTGCATTTGGACACAGCCAATCACAGCACCGTGTGATTAGAGACATTTGTAGGGTCCCTTGGAACAGCGACTTGTGATTGGACTGTGTCCAATTGCCCCGTGTCCAACTGATATACACCCCTCTGATTCGATAACTTTAAATAGCCCTCATGTAAAAACTATTGTTTTAGTTAAGGAAAAAGATGTTTCTTTTAGGTCGATATTCACAGTCGAATCTTATATTTAAGATCGTCTTAAGTTCATCTTCAGATAATGTACGAATTATTTCATTAACTATGGAGTATCCAAAGATAAATTGCAGACGATCTTAGATATAAGACTCGACTATAAATATCAGCCTTAGGCTACACAATCTAAATAACAAAAGTTATTTTGGTTTTAAAGGAAACTTAAATATATGTCTGTCTTTATTTATTTACAAAGAAAGATAAAGATAGATATATGTTTAAGTTTCGCTTAAAGCCAAAATAATATTGGTGCAACCAGGCCTTAGTCTCGAGAATTTCAGTGTGTATTCCGTATGAAAGCTTTCTGGGACATTCTGTATTATTTCGGCGCTTGGGAGAAGCCTTTCTCCAGAGCGTTAAATAAATGTTTTTATTATACCTAAGGGCATGAACCTTTTCTCATTCTCCATGTGGGTGACCGTTTGTATATAATGTTAGATATTTAACCTTCCGTCAGCAATTATATTTTTTATATAACGACGTTGGCAATCTGGGTTGTTTACGTTCATATCATATGATTTTTGTTTTAT